CTAAACACAGGTTTATGTAGAAGATCTGGGGAGGGGGGGTTCTTTTCTTTTGCTCTGTATTTGTTTCCTTTATTTCTAGAAGAGCTATAGTAATGATTATACTTTGGGTTTTTTTTTTTTTTTTTTTTTTTTTTTGCTTTTTTCAGAGAGTTTTGTCTAATTCTTAAACTCTTATTCAGCCATAGATAATTCCATAAGTCCATATCACTAGAAGTGGTGTAAATTATTCAAAGTATTTGGGTAACAACACCCCCCCCCCAATTATTTCTGGCCAAATTCCAGAAATGTAACATTTTTTCTTTTCTCTGCATAAGGAAAAGATTTTTTAAAAGAAAAAGATCAACTTCACTGGTCAAACCAGAAGTCATACTGATTATTATTTTAGATTGTTATACACTGAACTGCATTCTTGTACAAGGAGGGGAAATGATTAGAAGAAGAACTTGAAAAGCCAGTTTCTCTGTATCTGCTTCTTCTTTTATTGTATTTATAATTTTGTTCTTGTTCCCAACATTTGGTTATCAAACAAACAGTATTATATCCAAAATAAATACGTTTATATTTCTGATTAGGCTTATGTACATGGAAATACATGCCAAATTCTTACCTTGACGATAGAAGAGCAGATTTAATTCCCGGGTGGTCTTGTATTGCACCGAACTCTTATAGTTAATTGTATAGTTTTATACCATTTTGAAAGACAATTGGCCATGTTTCTAATAGCAATATGTGACAAGCTTAATTCAAAACAAATGTTCAAAGCTATTTCTAAAATAAATGAAAAGTCATTGCTATTTACTAAAAACACACCTGCTCATTTCATGCTGAAGGTTTCTGTGATACAGAGTTATATTTTTAGGAGCCATTTAAAGATCTGATCTTGTCCTTGGGTGCTCATCCATGTGATCCTCTGAAAGCTACTAAATAGCCCAAAAAGAGAAGAAACAGACCATCATTATACCTGCTTTTTAATTAAAGTAATGGTAGGAAGACCAGTTTTAGATCATTGCTTGAATTCTCTGGAGTACTTAGTATTTATCATTCATCTATGTGCAGACAGCTTTTGGAAAACAACAATAGTACAAATTTATGTCTGATTATTCAAAAGTGTCCAATGGGGCTTATTCCCTTATAGGATTATATTCAGGGGCTACAGTAGTAACTTCTCCTGATAATTCCTAAAGTAAAGATCCATTAGTCAAATTCTATGGATTTGAATGGTAGAACATCTCACTCTGATGGTACAATGCAATAAAAAACACATATGAATGAAACAATTATAGAAAAAATTCAAGAATACTTGCATATTCTTGGAGCTGCAGCTGGTTTGAAAGATGTAGCTGTTTAAGAAGATTTCTTCCAGATGATTACATGACAAATAGACCATGTAATATGCTTCAAGAAGGGATTAGAAGGTTCTAAATTCTTGGAATATCCACATCATTGATATAACAAAAAAGTACAATATTTAAATTAAGCATAAGTTGCAATAATGCCTGACCTTTTATTAGGAGAAAATTGTCAAAGACAACATCAGCTCCAAAGCATCTCTCCCAAACATGATTGATGCCGTTGCAACTGTCTCTTGCTATTCTTGCTGCAACATGCTTAAACAACTTGGAAATGTTTCCTTGAACTCCTAGGTCAGTCATATGAAATCCGTCTACTTGAGAATAGGAAATTGGGAGAGTTTCAAGATTTAAACACAAAATATATAAAGGTAAGGATATTTTCTTCCTGCTGCCACACATAAGAGCTACTGGATATAGATTATGCTGCTGGAAAATACTTTAAGGGTACATGAGCCATAGTGGTTGCACTGTTTCCTGATTTACTTAGAAATAATGGGAATTTCAGGGTTTTGAGTACATTAAAGATTTTCTAAATTCCCTGACAACCATGAACAATTTCTTCGTAAATTATTTGTATTTAATCTGTGCCTTTCTGCCAGATATGCTTTGCATGTTGGAATGTTCCACAGTCAATTCTAGATACAGTTTTTGTACATTGTACATTGTCTGCCAAGTGTAGAACTTGAATGAATCCAGGATTCTTTCATATTTTACATTATTATTCATGATGCATAAATCAATTTTAACGAAACTTGAATACCCATGGTACTTTTTCAGGAATCACCAATGTTTGAGGAATCTCAAAGAATAAACACTGTTTGAGAACAACTAATGTACACCTTTGGTCTTCTGGTCACAAAGTTAGACATATTTTGGACTGAAATAGCATTTACATTTCTTGACAGCATCCTTGTTTGCAACAGTGCAACATCTATTAAAGATCAAATCAAGGGGTACTAATTTTTTTATTGCAGGTATATACAAATCTCAACTAGGTAAGACTGCCTTTGCACCATTGCTGCCATTCATAATATTGATCTATAAAGGGTAGTTTTTGACAACATCCAGCATTTGCCACATTTGCCCCAGTGTATGATAACAGAAATTTGTTGATTATTTGGTCAGCACAGCAGACTTGTAAATTTATGACTTGAGAATTTATTGTACTATAAGCTGGAGTTTTACTACCACTTAAGAATTTGATGTTTGTTTATATATTGTGTTTTAGAATAAAAAAACAATAATATCACGTAATAAAATGACTACATGTTTCTATTCTGTCTAAAGAAATGTACTTCATGAATTGCACTGGAATTTTAACAGGCCACTTTGCAATCAGAGGAACAACCTACAAAATGCCATTGGATCCTCAATGCATCTAGTTCAGGGGTGTCAAACTCAATTTCATTGATTATAAATTATTAGGGGTGTGTTTGACCTCAGGGCCAGGGTGGGCATGGCTAGGGTGCATGTGGCCAGCTTGACATCACACATGTGGGGGGCACCTGTGGTGGCCAAAGTGCTCTGCCAGTGAAAATGGGCTCCTGAGCTCAGTTTTCCGCTGTGACTGCCTCCTGCAACCCTCTGCCAGAGAAAACTGAGCTTGCCAGAGTCACCGTGGGCCGGTCCTTCATTGTTTCCAGGGTGCCCCTGCAGGCCAGATCTAAGCACCTTGCGGGCCAAATCCTGCCCCCGGGCCTTGAGTTTGACACCCCTGATCTAGTTCAAAACACATCCGCAAGCCTACAGTTCATAACATGGAAATCAATATCTAAAACACAGATTGTTTCGGATCTCTATCAGATTCTTCATTTGGATATAAAACTTCTAAGATCTTCTCCCTTAATAAATGGTCTGATTAAATAAAGACAAATGATTAATATCCTATATTATAAAAGCTACTCACTTTTGTCTTTTGACATACAGTTTCTGGAGATTTCCATTCTATTACTCAATCTTTCTCCAAATATTTCACTTTCTTGATGTTAGTTCTTTCATGGATTTTTTAAAAAACAAATAGTGACAGTAAGATATGATTTACAAAGTGGGATGTATCTTGCTATTTGCAATGGATATCACATGACAAGATACCATAGCACTAAATAATACCATTTTCCAGATTGCGGATTGTTGTCAGTATATTCTGAATAGAAATTTTATTTTATTTTAATTAAAATATTATTCTTTATGGAGATGGGTGATTTCTGCACATCTACTTAAATAAAATACACATTGCAAGTCTTCTATTAGCTTTGTCCTAGAAGTGGAAAGTATAATTTCTTTAAAATACTTGCATCTAACTTCTTTTATTATTTCATCCACTTTTTCCCCACAGAGCATTATTCGGGTAGTTTTTCATGATCGGCGTTTGCAATATACTGAGCACCAACAGCTAGAAGGCTGGAGATGGAGTCGGCCTGGAGACCGCATTCTTGACATAGGTGAGAACTTTTCATTATGATATCCATTGCTTCTTTCTTGAATATACAGTATGACTTCCCTGTGAAATACAATAGGTATAAAAACACTTTGTTCTTTATACCTGTTGTAATATTTATGAATTTGAAAATACTTGGTGTGTTGAAATAACCAACAAGGTTTTGCTTTTGTTACATTTCATTCCAATATCAATGAAATGGTTTTTCTTTTTTTGCATTAATGTATTTATTTCTCACCTTTTAGGTAAAATCTGTTAGAAAAGTGGCTTTTATATAACCATATCCATTTTTGCTGATAGTACTATAAGCAAACTCTTTATCTGTGCTATGAAAGCCAGAAGAGATATAAATAGGGTAGGATAACTTTAGTTTCCCAGGATTGCGAAATACAACTCCAGGAATCCGTTTCAGATGGAAAAGCTCAGACCAAGTTTCTTACTCTGCAGCTAGTTGTGTCAGGCTGGTCTTTCAAATACAACTGGTGTTTACATTGCAATGTTTCTGCTCTTCAATTTTTAATTTTTTTAATATTTTAGGGGTTTTCTTCTACAGATATCCCACTGTCAGTTGGTATCTTAGACCCCAGAGCAAGTCCTACCCAGCTGAATACAGTTGAATTTCTATGGGATCCATCTAAGAGAGCATCTGCATTTGTTCAGGTAAGGAAAGAAAATACTCCTAAGTGGAATATGTTTTATCTCAAGCCATTAGAGGGCATCATTCTTTCATGTTCTTTGGGATACATTTCATTGAGACTATATGGGACTGAGAATCTGAGAATTTTATTTCAACCTCCCTTTAACTTAATAATGTTCATAAAATAACACTTCTAAGGACATGACTGTTTACTAAATGGGCAGGACAGAACACCCTTACGTTTGAAAATCAATTCTTTTCAAATCTGCATTTTTTCTTTACAGTGAGTGTATTTTTAAAAAATTAGGGCTCTAAATTGCTGAGCAGGAATCCCCTTTTGGGACTATACATTATATTTATCAGCTGAGTATCCAGAGGGTGGCACCTTGATTGACCCTGCCAGGGTGGAAGATAGAAGAAGTATTCCAATTATTGAAGATTACATAATTTTCATTTTTCTCCAAGAAGAGGAGTAAAATATTTAAAAAAAACATTGAGGGTTAAAAATATCTCTGAATATTTATACTTTTTAGTATTAAAAGAGGCTTTACCATCTGAGCATAACAATAGTAACAATATTGAAGTATGGTCCAAACTACAAGTGAAATTTTAATCATTAATACTTTTGGCATTATCTGGCCACCAGACAGATAATGATAAGACAAATTCCATTATTTAATGTTTAGTAGAAGGAAATAGCTGCTTTAGGGAAGAGCTGATTAAAAAGGAGAATGTAATGAGTAGTAGCAATAACACCTATATACTGCCCCTGTATACTTTACAGCACTTTTTGGGTGGTTTACAATGTCAAAGCATTATTTGCACATTGCTCCCATGTGGGTTTTCATTTTACCAACCTTGGAAGGATGGAAGGCTGACTCAACCTTGAGCCCCATCAGGATCAAACTCCAGGCTGTCGGCAGAGTTTGCCTGCAATGCCGCATTCTAACCACTGTGGATGAGGATTCAGTGGGTACCTCAATTTGGATAATACTGATTCCTTTCCCATAGCTAAGCAGTAGGTTACATTATTAGTTCAGCTTCCCCTCATAAGACTTGTCAAATACTTCTATTAAAAAATAAAACAACCCAAAACCCAAATCTCAAACAGTGTGATTTGGGACTTGAGCACTAAGCACATTTCTTTTGGTTAGGTGCACTGTATTAGTACGGAATTTACTCCAAGGAAACATGGAGGGGAGAAAGGGGTACCATTCCGAATACAAATGGATACGTTTAAACAGAATGAAAATGGGGAGTATACAGAACACTTGCATTCTGCAAGCTGCCAGATCAAAGTATTTAAGGTAGGTAGCTAATTTCTTCCATTAATTTTGTACCATAAGGAGATGCTACAAATGATATTTCTTTCCCTCCCCCCACTTTACTTCATTATTCTTGAAAAGAGGATAGTTGGACAGATATGAGGGGATCTGTAGGCTCTCAGAAAAGAAGCAGTTTAAATTGGCACAATTGGGGGTGGGAAAAGATTGTTCTGTGAAAATTACAGATAACCACATATTAACATTTGGATTTTTCATTAATTTTTGACATCTCTTTACTTCCTCTTGGTGATCATTCCCTCCCTTTTTGGCAGTTATTCAATTTTCTCTATATGGCCCCTTCACCTCTTAGTTCATTGAAAAGCCGCTTGTACATCCAGAACTAATTCCTAATCTCTCTCCATTTTTTTTCTCATTAGAATTGGAATGGGATGCAATTGTATTTCCAATATCTTATTCCCAACTTGCACTTGATTTGACATAAGGATCTCTATTCATGGGATCCTCCCTAGTATTTCTCAAATTCTGGGAAAATTTGTTCTCCTGAAGGGTGAATGAATGACTACTTCAGTTTCTATTTTTATATAACTTGAGCATGGCCACTTTCTCATTGCTTTTACTTTTTTGGTAACCACTCTCAAATGTTTAGGATCAGATCTAGCAAAGCCCGTCTCTTATTTTTCTTGTCTGGACAATGGAAGTCTGCAAACCCAGCTCTGAAGATCTTGCAGTACTGACTTTGTTTGTTTCCAACTGTGTTCCGGATGGTTGAATTCTTCTATTATTACCATGCTCCTTCTCTCTGCAAGTTCTTTAAGATATTTAAGAATTATTATCTACTTCTGTTTGGCTTGCCAGTCTATAGCACACTATCAGCATACTATTTTCATGATTTTCCCTTCCTTGTATTCTTACAAAGTGCTTCCAAATAGATTCACGCTAAAATTCTTGTTCTATTAGCAAATGTGTGCACTTCCCACGTATGAAGCTACTCTTCCTCCCCTTTTGCCTGGCATATTACTGTTGAGTAAGTTATATCATTCAGTCCCTACATTTCACTCATGAATTTCATCCTACCAGATTTTGTAATATTGACTATATCATATTTGTGTTTAGACTCCTAGTTCTTTCTGTTTGTTCCCTATAATTTGTGCATTTATATAAATTCTTGACTCATATGACTTGGCCTATTTCTTCCTGCATATATGTGTCCATTATTGTGTGATTCTATGTCCTGAATCCCACTTCAGATCAATTCCAGGAATAACACATGCTAAAATAAAAGTGCTATAAAAATCTAATTAATAAATAAAAACTAGAAACAAAATTGAATTTAATTACTGAGCAAATTGGAATATTAGCCAATGATGATTAAGATAATAGATTATATCGATCTGAATGAAGACGGACATGTCTCTCTATATATTTCTGGAGAGTATGATACAGATACTTTATTGGGATATTGTTTTATGTTCAATAAAGTTAAAATTATTAAAGGCAGTTATCCAATAAATATCCTCTCTGCCATGAAATTCACTTGATGAATAATCACTTTAATAATTCCTGTATTTATGAGCCTTCTATGTTTGTTGGGTACCTAAACTCTAAGGTTTGCAAAAGAAAAGCAGGAATTGTCTTGCTCACCATGGTTGTATCCACTGATGCCATTGCTAATGGAAAGTATCCTTCAGGAAGGGTGGAGAAACTTCAGCATCCTCTACATATTGTTGAACTACCAGCATTTTTCACCATAGCCATATTGGGCAAGATTTAGAGTTCAGCAACACCTGGAACAGATTGTCCATGCCAGTTTTACAAAAAAAGTTTTCTATCCTATATCCCATGGCACATATACGTACACAAGGGAAGAATGTCCATTAAATCATGCCTCAATGTCACTTTTATCAATAAAAACCTTTGCACTTTCTGTTTAACAATCCTTTGCTTAAGACAAACTAAATTTATATGTGCTTTTATAGCCTAAAGGAGCAGATAGGAAACAGAAAACAGACAGAGAAAAAATGGAGAAGAAAACCACTCAAGAAAGGGAGAAATATCAGCCTTCCTATGATACAACCATTCTCACTGAGGTACCACTGTCCTAGAGTTGCAGTGTTATATGGTTATTACTTGCAAAAGACTGCATATTTTATATGTATAGAAGGCAGTATTGTGGAGTGTTCAATTTTGAAGCAAAATGATACAATGGGTAAAGTCTAAAACAGGACACTGTTGCATTTTTAGATTTGATGATGCTCAGTATAACCTGCTTGACCTGTATTTAAAACTAATATATCCTAAAATTGATGCTTCCTAAAGTTCCAAAGAGCTAAAAAGAATGTTCTGTTGGATTCTGAAATTCAGATTATCAATAATAACTTTCTAAGCCAATTGGAATCAGTTACTTAAAGTGTCTCTACTTGGATACTAAGGTGATTTTCTAAAATCCACAGCCCTATCTTTAGTTGCAGTTTTGGCAATGAATTGAGGTAAAGCTCCCACCCATTCCCCTTCTAACCTGCCACCAGAATAATAAATAATAATCATTTTTTGTACCTCAGACTGCATGTACAATTATATTGTAACCTGAAAATGTATAATTCTGCAGACCTCCTCAAAATGATACTCACAATGTGGCAGGCTGGGTGTACAGAAGGAGAATAGTTGTGCTGTTGTGCTGGGGAAATAACATGTGAGAAGAAACCACAATTCTCTTGATGAGTACCTCCACTAAAGGAGAGGGATTGCTAGTCGAAAGAGAGCCTTAACAATGGGGCATCCAGATTATAGACTGACTTCCTTAGAGAGGTTTACTGATGTATACTGTATATTCTTTCAGCACACAGTGAAGGTCTTCTGATGATCTCAGTTTTTTAAACCTTTAAAAATAATTATTTGATCTTATTGTGTTATCCTTTGCTTACTTCTATCTTCAAGGTATTTCCCCCCCTTCAATTCTTCTAATTCATTTTAGATTTTGTGTTTTATTTGTGCAGTTCATTTCATTTCATCATTGGGCAATCTAAACAAACAAAAGTAAAAACAGATCAATAGGCAGATATTTTTTCAGGGAAGTTTTGGTCTCATTCTTCTTTTGAGACTTAAAAGATTTTGACATTTTAGTCTTAAAGTTCACATTGCTGCAAGACCCAGATTAAACAAACATTGAGAAAGTAGGGTAAAGTTAAATGTTTAAAGAAGAGCTGAAATAAATTTGCTGTTTCATTCATAGAACCTTTTATATCTGTCTGTGTCATTTAGACAGCACATTATGGGTCCTAATGCTTAAGGGCAGTGAGTCCTCTGCCTGGAAAATGACCTAGTTTTAAAGAACTACTAGATTGAGGTGGCCTGTTGTTGATGAGAATGACCTTTAGCACCTTAGAGCAGGGAGTCATAAAGTCCGTATTCCAAAAAAGTTAAATATTTACGAATGTTTGTATTTACTATGGAGAGAAATCTTAAGTTAATGCACAGGTTGCCTGTTATATCACTGAAAATGAATGGCGAAATCCTTTCAGCTGTCTCAGTTGTGGCACCCCTTACAGCCACTAGCAAATCCACAGTGCGGATAATGGATAATATGGGGATTTCTTAAGCATATTTCAGCTGTAAGGAAGTGAGGTTGGAGGAGAAGCAGGAAACCTCCAGGTGCACAAACATCTACTCTTACAACATTAGATTCTGCTAAGAATTTAGTTATACAATAATATATAATAATTTAAGCATATGTTTAAAATTATTTCTGTGTAAAAAGTGAGTGGGTAGGCTTGTGCTAGCTTTCTTGTAAGCCCACTCTGCATATATTAAGTATAACATCTTTATATGTAGTAAAGAGTGCTTGAAATGTATTATATTCTATATTTATAGATTAACAGCCCTTTCCCCTACTGAATATACAATTGAAGAATGGCTTTTTATTTGTTCCACCATGTACAAATCTACAGTGTTAGGAAACTAATTATAGGTTATTTCCCTGCTTATGCTTAACATTTGAGTAGCTGCTTGAATTCTAGTGCATATACAATCACTGTTGGAAATCAGATAATTTCAGAGTTGGAGTGTGCATGTAGGTGATAATAAATATATTTTTGCTATTGATGATCCCACAAAAGCTAGTTTTAAAACAGAATGAGATTGCATTTTTGGATTTTCTTTCTCAGCACCTTGGTTTTGTTTGCAGTGTTCCCCATGGCCAGATGTGCCTTATCAAGTGAACAATGCTCCATCTCCAAATTACAACAGCTCTCCAAACAGTTTCAGCCTCGGAGAAGGGTACGTGATGAATATTTTTGTCTTTTCTGCTGACAGAGGCAACCCAGTTTTGAGATTTTATGGTTGTGTGTTCTAAACACTTCCGAATATAAAAGATTAGGAAGCTTAACCTGGCTTTCAGGCCCAGCTTAATGTTGATGGACTGAGATTGTAAGATCCATTCCTGTGCAACTGAACTCTTGCACAACTTTGCCTTATTTGAAAGCTATTTACATAATAGAATACTTGAAAGATAGCTTTTAAATGACACCCCCCACACACACACACTGTTAGCTAGAGGAAAAGGTAATGTTTTAATTTATTTTAGATAATATAATATGCAACCTATTCCCTCCATTTTAGCTTTGTAAGAAAAATATGTGTTGGACTAAGGGATGGTGGTTTGCTTAGTTCTGTAGCAAGCTTTAAGGCTAAATGAAGATCTGGACATGATTTCTCTCAGTCTGATTATAAACCATCTCTGGATCGCAAGATCTTACCATCATAAAGTAATATGAGCCACTTCAAACATTGCTAGAATAGTAATCTACAATGATAATTATCTTATATTGATATATTTATTTTTAAAATATGACCACCTATGTTATGAGCCATAGCTCTCAACAATACTAAAACTCCAGAGATAGTAATAGAACCTGATATTCTCCAATATATCACCAAAATATGGGCCCTGGGCTTTAACTTCATCCTATCCACAGGTTTTTTCCATGTGGAAAAAACCAACTGTTTAGAACTTTCTGGAAATCGAAAAGGTCTGCCAAATCCCATGGGAAAGGTGTTCCACAGGGTAGAGGCATTTAAATGAAAAAGGCATACTTCACAGGACCTGCTATATGACAATATTTGAGGGAAGAGACCTAGTTCATGCCAACACTTTTTCTACCACTTGAATGAGATTTAGCTCCAGGTAATGCCAATTTGATTTTAAAACTCAAGATGCAGTTTAGATGCTTCATATTTTAAAACTGCATTGTAGTCATTAACCAGCACAGAGGCTTGATAAGACTCAAGCAGCTCTTGTTAAAACCAAGAACAGGTGACTATGCATTGGCCCAAATTTAGAAAATAATAATAATAAAGAAAATTCATTTTAGATATTTTACTGTATCACCTAGGCTGTATGGTGGTGGAAGTGGTGGGGAATGGCCAAGATGATTAAATGAGAGATTTAAAAATGCTTTCTTTTTTTCTCGACTGTATGTTTTTTTAGCAACAGTTCTCCAACTCATCAGGTGGAGCTCCTGCCTTCCAACAATGATGTAAGTATCTGGGATCGTGTTAATGTGGTGCTTTTCTTTTTTAGGACACTGATGAACAGTTCATTTCAAGACCTTCTTATTCTTTTTGCAATGTAGCATCTCCTTCCCTCTGCTTCTATTCAAGATGCTCAGCAGTGGCTTCATCGAAATAGGTTTTCTCAGTTCTGTAGACTATTTTCAAGTTTCTCAGGTATGTGTATTAAATGTACCCTTTAAAGGGGTACATCTCTACTTTTCATAGGTCATGTGTTGACATTTCAGCGGAATAGTTTAACTATGCATATTTGTATACATTGGCTTTCTGATGACTAGGTGCAAAACTCCTCCTTTTCTCCCCCCCCATTTTCTAATTAGCATGTGTGGTCAGCCAGCATCTGTCATAAAACATCTGTAAAAGGTGGTTCTGTATTCTTGGATATATGTTTTTGGAAAGAAAAAGAAAATCACCTGTGCTTGAAATGTATAGGTGCCGACTTATTGAAGATGTCCAAAGAAGACTTCGTTCAGATTTGTGGCCCAGCTGATGGTATTCGACTGTTTAATGCCATTAAAGGAAGGTTTGTTATAGTTCTTGTTCTTATATCAGTCATTGAGGATTGAAATATGTAAATATTGTGGAAGATAGAGGCTCAAATTTAATACTGTAACTTTGCATCATCAGTGATCATTACTGCTGCTTGTAAAAATCACAGATGTCCTCCACTATTCTGCTTGCACCTTACTGTTCAATTACAGAATACAGAAACAGATTTATTGATACAGAATACAGAATTACAGTGTTGGAAGGGACCTTGGAGATCTTCTAGTCCAACCCCTTGCTTAAGCAGAAGTCATACTGATAGTATCCTTGGGGCAGTCATGTTAAAGCTATTGATTAAGATTAGAGAACTGTACTTTTGCCTACGATGCCAAAACTGAACAGAAAACTTTGTTTTGCCTTTAGGAATGTAAGGCCTAAGATGACCATTTATGTGTGTCAAGAACCTGAGCAAAATCGGACTCATCATCATCAAAAACGAGAGAATGGAGATGGTACTCTTTGTAGTAAGTGTCATTTGGGCAGAATCTGAGCTATTTGAGAGTTTCTAGGATTCATTTCACAGAATTTAAGAAATTATAAAAAATAGTTTTATTAGACATATAAATCTAGCATTTGAATTATATTCAGAAAAAGCCTGTTGGATGCATTCTGGAAGATTCAGGGCATGTCTGGAGTTTCTCCAGAATGGACCATATGTACCCTGAAATCTTGTCTAGTGATTCCATAGTACAGGCAGTCTTTTTATAAAAATTATAACCTACAAGGTGGAATGATGGGAATTGTAATTTTTAAGTGACAGCTTTAGGTTCTAACATAGTGAATAGTTTTATCAGAATTTTCCAATTAAGGTGTTTAACATAGAAGGATGTTACAACAATTTAATAAAATATTTTTATTCACTATTCAGTGTTTCTGTCCTTGCCACTATCTGCTTCACATTTAATATCTTCCTTCTGCCCTATTGCATTTTCCATGACCAAATTTTGTAAACAAAAAAATGAAAGGAATTTTTTCATCATTGATCCATTGTTCCCAGAGTATCTAAATTTGTCAGAATTTTATCTATATCATGGCCATGATATATGCCAAGACCAAATGTTGGTGCCCAGTCTCAAAGAAAACCAAATTATCCCTATTGAATCCTCAAATTTGAAGACATTATCTACAAAAATAGTTATAATTATGTTTTTTTAATTTTGGGAGACTTGATATGCATGCAAAAGAAACAAATATGCCTTGAAATTCTGCTAAGAAACTAAGAAAGCTCAAAAAATTCTAAGCACATCTAGCTGTGGTCCCTAATAATGTGAAATTTGTCAGGCTTCATTTCTTCATCAGGAGAACTCTGTCTATAATACTAATGTCAGGGTTCCAAAAAACACCCCCAACAAAATAAAACTCCAAGGGTTGTGTTTCCTTAAAGTTCTAATTTATTAGAGATTTCATGTTGTCACATCTAGGAAAACCCGAATCTGAAAGCTTCCAGGTTTTCCCACCCAGTTGAAAGTGCAAGATCCTGCTTCAGCACCAACAAGTTTATGACATGGTCCAATCTTTCACTGCCACAAAGACAGATTCCACCCATCCAGTTCAGGCCAGACAAAGATGACCTTGACTTTCTAAGAAGAATATTATTATGGCTACATATCACCCAACTCCATATAATCCCCACCTCCTATTTTCCCATGGTAGAAAGTGTGGAAAAGATGGTTGCAGTTAATTCATTTCTGAAATGAATCAAATGGCCTCCAAAGCAATATGGCAAATCATCAAAATGAGATCTGCATTAAGTATTGTGATTGAGGCACATTCATGATTTTACCCCTATTCATGGGTAACTACAATACGTTTCCATAATGTCCTCTCCTTCTCCTGATAACAGAAGGATTCTTCTCATGTCCCAGTCTCCTTGCAAAATAGATGACTTGGTTTTAAGGTTTAAACCATGGCTGTCAAATTCCCAGCCCTGATTTAGCGAAGGGGGAAAAAGTCCTGATACATTACATGATGCCGCCATGATGATTTGAGCTTGACACAGTCCAAAGGGCAAGCAGTTACAGCATCTAATGGTTTAGGTGCAAGATTGTTATAGGAGTCAATAATTGACCATATCTACTGGATCTCTTTCCAAGGACTACACATGGTTTTGCAACCCTGAAGTTACCTTTTGAATCAGACAGTGGTCTTGGGAAAGTTACTTTTAAAAGATGATTTTGGCTTTCACTAGAAGACATTCAATGTCAAAAGATTTCTTGCCTGCCTCCTGCAAAACCTTTGATAAGATGTGTGTCAACCAGCATGATGTCTGATTTTCGTCAAGTTTTGGATGAATAAAATATAGGAGAGCATACTTTGAATCATATGAAATATAGGAGAGTATACTTTGAATCATATGAAATGCAAATAGCATGTCCCTCAAGACACAGTTCAATGTATAGGTTGATCTTGTGCAAGTAATGTGTTAACTTGTGGCAGTTTACTGCATTAGCTAGGATTATTTTTTTTGTTTATTTTTATCCCATCTTTATTATTTTTATAAATCACTCAAGGTGGGGAAGATACCTAATACTTATCTTAGTTTCCTTACAACCACAACAACCTTGTGAGGTGGGTTGGGCTGAAAGAGAGTGACTAACACAAAAGAGGGCCCCACATAATCACATGTCGCCTGCAACTTGCCAGTATCTTCACTCCTGAAAGTTATTCTTTCTCCAATACTGTTACAGTATACCATGCTATCTTCTTAGAAGAGTTAACTACACTGGAATTGATGGAGAAGATTGCAAACTTGTACAGTATTTCCCCACAGCAGATAAACCGGATCTATCGACAGGGACCTACAGGGATCCATGTATTAGTGAGCAATGAGGTAAGAGTTTTAACCAATGTTCCCTCTAATTTTTTTTCAGTGTGTGCGGAAAAGTATAGTGTTCGAGCAGCACATTTTCATGTCTGAGCAGCTGAATTTTTTTTAGCCATAATTGCCATCAGAGCAGATGTTGGGAGGGGGGCAAGGAGAAAAGGGGCCCCTCCCTCTCCCTCAGGAAGGGAGGGGAGGGGAGGGAAAGGAAAGGAAAGAAAATGGGAAACAAGAAAAGGAAAGGAAAAAGGAAAGGAAATAGAAAAGAAGGAAAGGAAAAAGGAAAGGAAGTGGGAAAGAAGAAAGGAAAGGAAAAGAGAAAGGAAAGGAAAAAGAAAAGGAAATGGAAAAGAAGGAAAGGAAAAAGGAAAGGAAATGGGAAAGAAGGAAAGGAGAAAGGAAAGGAGAAAGGAAAAGAAAAGAGAAAGGAAATAGAAGAGAAGAAAAGGAAAAAGGAAAGGAAATGGGAAAGAAGAAAGGAAAAGAGAAAGGAAAGGAAAAAAGGAAATGGAAAAGAAGGAAAGGAAAAAGGAAAGGAGAAAGGAAATAGAAAAGAAGGAAAGGAAAAAGGAAAGGAAATGGGAAAGAAGAAAGGAAAGGAAAAGAGAAAGGAAAGGAAAAAGGAAAGGAAATGGAAAAGAAGGAAAGGCAAAAGAAAAGAAGGAAAGGAAAAGAGAAAGGAAAGGAAAAAGAACAGAAGTTAGAAGAAGGACAGAAAGGAAAAGGAAAGAGTTGAAAGGATTGGTACTGCTCAAAAATCAAATCTCAAGATCCTGTGGACCACTTTGGTTCAGGCATTCCAATCCCACACTGCTTCCCTCTCTCCCCAAAGCGAAGGGATTGCAGAAAAAATGCTGAGCCCAGAACGGGGCTTCAGACGAGGCAATGCCTGAGAAACCCCGGATGTGCAGAGAAATGCAGGCTACAACCAGCGAATCTCGTTTTCCCAGGAACTGACGAAGCCCCAGAGGACCAATGGGAATTCTCCCTTCTGCAGCGTCATCGATCTCCGGGCAGAGTCTTCCTTGATTTCACCAATCAGAAATCAAGAGTTCAGAAGGGAGTGAAGGGGGATATTTTCAGTCACATTTGAAGGCATTAAAAAACACTGCGCTGCACTTTGAAACTTGTGCCCGGTGCTTTTTTGTTACCTGCGCGGCCGCTCACACCCGCACTTTAGAGGGAACGCTGGTTTTAACTAGAATATTTTGCACCTGATGTCCAAGGCATAACATTAACTTATTTGTTCATTCTGAATTATATTCCTTTCAAACGACTTTGAGCTTCAAAACATTAAAATGTCTTAATCACTCTTTACTGCTTTATTTAAATAAGTTCATCAATTTAAGATGCCTTGATCCTTGAAATAATTAAAACCAGAAATTTCTGGTAGAATGTATATGGTGCTAAAGTGAGTAGAATCAACAGATGAATGTTCATTTAGGTTTTTTTTAATAATTCCAATTCGCTTTATATAATATTTTACTTTTTATTTCCCAATCTGTTTTTTTTAAATCATATTACCTATTTTCAACCCTGATTACAGACTTGGGGAAGAGTACACTAGTCAGATAATAGATATGAGCAGGCTATAAACCTTGCAAATAAATAGGCAGACAAAACAATATTCTGAAACATTGCCTACAAAAGGCTAGTATTGAAAGATAATTAAGGCATGGATCGAGAAACATGGCAATAGTTGGGATGATTTGTAGCTATCTAGTAACAAATTTTGACTTTCAATTGTTTAAGAGTATAGCAGCCCACCATCTCCAGTAAAACTGATGAAAGTTTGAGATAAACAGGAGTGGATTACATAAATTGGTTTAAATATAGTGAATTTTGAACAAAAATAAGGGTCATCAGACAATTTCAATTTACATTTTAAAAAGTTATTTCAACTACAAAACCTATGGCTTTGTTTCATTTTGATTAATCTTCTGATAGGCAGAGGGTAGGGAAAAAGACACAGATGTTCCTAGATAGCATTATATGAAGACTGAAATATATAAAAACGCGAGATAGTTTAGTAAAAGTAACTGATATCAGCCCTAATAACTATAAAGTGTCTTGCTTCGGGGCAAATGTGAAGGGAATTTACCTTCTTTCTTGTAACTACTTCTAAATATATCTCACTTAATTATACCCTGTATTTACCTGCCAAATATTACAGCTTTTTCTTAGTAGCCTGTTGCATGCTTCAGAATCACTTAAGTTTCATTGTATTTGACCTCTGGACGGAGTTATAGCTAAGCACAAAATTCCCATGCCGTTATGGATCAAGCCTGTAATGTTTGCTCTGAAAAGTTGCTCTACTGTTTCACCCTGATGATTCAGAAACTTGTAACATTTGAATAGTCATGAAATGCTTTAAGGCAGCATTTGGAAAGTGGAATGGCCTTGATTAACTTTGGTGCGAAAAGGCTTTCAATAAATATTTAGGTTACTGATTAACAACTGCTTTTGCCTTATTTTTTGTCTTCTAATGGTAGGGCAACAGCAGGGAAGTAAAGGATAGGCAGAATCTGGTTGTACCTTTTCTTGTTTTTTNGGCATATAAATAAACTTTAAATCTAATCTAAATCTAAAAGAAAGTGATTACTGTATTTTTTGGAGTATAAGATGCACCGGAGTATAAGATGCACCAAGGTTTTGAAGAGGCAAATTAAAAAAAAGATTTTGCACTCTGCAAACCTCCCCAAAACGGGTGTGATTTTTTCCCCCCAAAAAGGGCATGAATAGCCTTTAGGAGGCTTGTAGAGTGCTCCTGGGGGCTGGGGGGGGGACAAAGTTGAGCAAAAAATGGCCCTTTTTTGCTCATTTCTGCCCTCCCAGCTCCCAGGAGCACTCTGAAAGCCTCCTAAAAGCTATGCCCGGCCATTTTGGTGAAGGGGTGGGGTTTCAGAAGGCAAAAATGCTGTATTCAGTGTATAAGATGCACCCAGATTTTCAGCCTCTTTTTTGAGGGAAAAAGGTGTGTCTTATACTCTGAAAAATACGGATAAACTGAGAAAAAGTCTGTTATTTACTATGGTACTTCTAAAAGTTGGTGAATTCAGTTTTCTAAATCCAAATTTTCCATCTTTGCAGATGGCAATCTTGGCAAATTCCAGTTCTAGTATTCCACTCAGTATGGCCATAACTAAGAATTATGGGAATTCCAGTACACACATTTGGAAGTTTTCAAAGTTGAAAAATGCTAATCTGACTGTTGAGATGGCATTTTTCACTTGCAAGGTTTACCTTGATTACAGAATGCCTGGATTTGCTGCCATCTGTAGTCAATAGGTCAAAAATAGACTAATCTGCAAATCTTTGTTGTTTCTGGACTACATTCTCAGCCTGCATCACCACAGGCCATACTTCCAGGATGTTGGGAATGGTAATTCATCAATACAGGTAGTCCCCAACTTACAACAGTTCATTTAACAACCATTTGAAGTGACCATTTTTACTCTTATGACCATTGCAACATCTCCATGGTCACATGATCAAAATTCAGATGCTTGGGTGAAACCTACAATAAAGAGAATATATATTTAATTATTCATGTATTAACAGCAGCTAGAATTGTATTTGCACAACATTGGAAAAGCAAAGAGATTCCTACTGAGGAGGTCATTAGGAAAATACTTGAATGTGCAGCAATGAATAGATTAACATTAGCAATTAAGGAGAAAGAACAAATTGATCATTATAGGATATGGGAAGTGTTTTACTAATAGTTAGAGAATAAAAAAGGAAATTGGAAATAAAAGGAAAGGGGGAAAAAGAAGGTTAAAAGAAGAACAGAAAATATATTAAGATAGAAATGAGAATAAAACGATAATTGTTAGTATTAGTATGATGAGAATAACTAGGTTTAATGTTACTATGATGTTTTTATTGGAAAATATGTTAATGAAGGAAAGGAAGAGCATTACAATATTTAATTGTATTATAATTGGTGGAAGGATGTTGCACAGAAATATTTGTACTCAAGACGACACACTGCTTAAGAAAAGATGAAATGTTTATATTTAAAATTTGGAAAAAAAACTTTTAAAAAATTCAGATCTTTGCAACTGGTTCATTTTTTTGATGGTTGCAATGTTCTGTGGCCATAGAATAATCTTTTGTCAAGCCAAGTCAATGGGGAAGCCAGATTCAATTAACAAGCCTGTTATTAACTTAACAACTGTAGTGATTCACTTAACAGCTGTGGCAAGAAAGGTGATAAAATTGGGCAAAACTCCCTTAACCAATGTCTCACTTAACAACAGAAATTTTGGGTTCAGTTGTGGTCATAAAGCAAGGACTACCTGTGTCTACAAAGCCACAATTGGTCTCTGCCCTTAACAAATTACCGCTAGAAACAAAATCCAAAATCATATGAATTAGTGTTTTGACAGGGCTGCAATTGAAAAGTATAATGATGTTTCTTAAGGTCAATTAGTCCAATAATTCTCTATCTTGCAAGATGTACTTGGGAACATAGTTTTAATAGTTGAGATATATATTCACTTGCATTTTTCATGTGGATTTGTTTTTTTTCAGATTCACAGATATCTTTATTCCCAAAAGAATGAAAGAGATAGGGAAAGTAAAATTCTACAAATGATTTATATCACTTAGTATCGATTGAGGCAGATGGAAGACTTCTCATCACTGCACAGTGGTCATAGTGCCTTAACTTTAAAATAATGAATAACCTTATTTTAAGTGATATCCTAGATCAGTGATGACTAACCTTTTTGTCCTCGCGTGCCATAATGCAATGTGCGCGTGACACCTCCCCCACATACTCCACCCCTGCACCCCTGCATGTGACACCCCCTGCTCCCCATGCATGCGCGCATGATATCCCCCTGCCTGCCTTGTTTTGGGCCTAGCAGGCCTCCCTGAAGCCACCTGGGCCCAAAAACGGGGCTGGAGGGGCGCATCATTCTTCTCCCACCCCCTGCACATGTGTGATCGACCCCCTTCCCCTCCACGCATGCGTACGCGTCTCCTGCATGCACGTCAGAGAC